CGAATCGCGTGACAATGAGTCACACAGGCGACTCTCCACTCGCTTTCTTTCGCGCCCGTGCAATTCTCAAATTGTTCCCTGTTCCGACGATAGGGAATCCCCTTCCCCTCCTAGTCCTGTTTTTCACTTTTGTTAGCCGCGCGCACACCGTCTCGCATACCAATGCCGGTTAGTTCCGGTTGCTCCTAATACGGGGAGGAGATTAATATCGATTGAATGGGACAAGTCACTCTCACTCTCCCTACGCTCGCTTTTGCATCACGTACCGTGTCTATTTTAGAGACCTATGCCACCTCCTTCCTTTCCTCGTCTCAATCTCGAATTGATATTCGTTTCAGAATTCAATTTCGTTCTCTTTTGTACGAGCGCGAGGGACACAGATTGTATATTGTTACAAGCGCGTTTTTGAGAAAACGAATTGTATTATCGTTTTTAAGTTTTTTAAGTTTTTTAGTTTTTTTTCTTCACTTGAACAAAATTAGAAAAATAGTGGAACGATTTCCATCGACGTCCTCAACCGGGATCTCGCCATCCTTCAATCTCTCGACGCAAGAATACGCCTCTGATACTCACTTTCACCCGGGCTGCACCCCGGAATCCTCGGGTTTCCGAGCGTAAATGGAATAACGGACACGGCACGAGACACAGAGCTCGTCGACTTTCATACGAGATATGCTGATCCGTGCCTACGGTATTATAATATTATAATTTCTGTGAAACTTAAGAAAAAAAATAAATAAAAATGTTCCATCTCTGTAAATCGAAGGTAAACGGGAATGAATTGACCGTGATCTCGAAAAACGCGATTTATATTTATATTTATCTGATAATTTGGAAATTTTAAATCCATTCTCGATATTTATTTACGCGTATCTCAATAAATAAGTAAGTAAAATCGAACAGAAATATACGTATATATATATATATTTTGAACGCTATAAAATTGCTGCTACCTTTCTTCCTTTATATCGTATAAATTGTTCGCTGCGTAGTCCATTCTGTTCGTAGATAAAACAAAGAAACCAAATCGACGAATTTAGAGCAATTAGCGCCATCTCGCGTTTGGATCCGCGAAGCTCCGATTTGTTATTAGCGTAACAGAATGTACAAGGAGGTATTCGTGACGTCACAAAGAGAAGACGTGCCACTATTTTGGATTATGCAGCTCCTGATACTTTCCACCATTTCGATACATCACTGAAAATTGAAAATTAATTAACTAATGGTTTTTTAATGAAAATCTACGCACTTTTAAGCTCGCATATTAAAGCTGGTGCCTCAGGCAATATTCTCGTTTTAATTTCAATCGCAGATTCTTTTCAATTAATTATTCGTTAATAATTCGTGCGAGCTGAGGCTATCGATAAGCAATATATTTTTCATTAATTTATTATTATTATAACTTTTATTTATAAATATAAATATATTTATATCTGAAACGTTGTTTCCTTCTGTATTTTCTTGTATAATTTTTATTCGTAATTTCTTCGTTTTTTGGAAGAATAAATCGATTGTTTATTATTTGATCGATCTCGAAGTGGAAGTTCGCTCGCTCTTCGTAATCGATAATCGTTAATGAATAATTAATTAATAGAATTTCGCGTTAAAATTGATACATGGAACATGCTTGAGGTTCTAGCTTTAAGATTCGAGCTTAAAAGTATCGAAATTTTTGGATAGAAAAAAATTAGTGATTAACGAGTATTCGATATGGCGTCTTCGATGTATTAAAACGTTGATACGATGTTAATTATTAATAAATAATTAATTGAATAGAATTTCGCGTTAAAATTGATACGAGAAACATGCTTGAAGCTTAAAAATATCGAAATTTTGCGTAGAAAACTATTAATTAATGAATTTTCCATGCGAAATGGCGGGAAATATTCTCTATCCTTCTCGCACAATGTTGATTTCTCTGTCTACGACTTCGCATACCTCCTTGCACATTCTGCTACGCCAATAACAAATCGAAGCTTCCGCGATTCAAACGCGAGATGGAGCTGATATCCTAAATTTTTATCGATACCTTCTTTTTTTCATATATCGTATCTTTATATACGTATCTTTTTAAATTTTCGTACGTGTAAATATCCTATTATCTTTTTTCTAATATCATTTTATTATTATATACATCGTTTACGCAATTGCATTTATATTTCTTTCAATTTTTATATATTTTTTGGCATGCCACGACCCTTCCGATTATATTCTCCCATAAGAAATTTTGATTTTACATTGAAAAAATATGAATGAAGAGGAAGTGGAGTGCAAAATTTTTTTGATATCTCATCACGAAGAACTATATCGAGGGTAAATGTATCGAGAACATGAATTCTTAATTTCTTAACGTGTAATTTTTCTTCTAATCGTTTCGAGTGAATGGATACTCAAGCGCGTTGAATTAATAACAATCTCGATAAAACAATGATCGTCAATTGTTTAGGAGCACGCGTTATCCGGTTTCTTCCTCGACATCCGCTTTTAAATAACGGATATAAGAATGCCACGGTCGTCGAGTTTTGCGTTAAAGTTTAATTATTTATTCACTGGACGCTCTTAAGGAGGTAGACCGGACATACTGTTGGTAATTATTCACGCCCGTTCGAAACATTTCTCCCGTATGGGTGAAGGCTTAACTGTTTCCACGAGAAGTTTCCTTTTTATCCTATTTCTAAACTTGATTATCCAAAATTATCCATTATCGAGAATTACATGGGTATAAAGTACAATGTGTATAACGTAATATTTCGATCGATCGGAATGAATAAAATAATGGCAAGAAAGTCATCCGGGCTAAAATGTGTTTTAGTTATTGAAATATAAATTTACGATAGAAAGCAAGTGAAATTTATTACTCTTTACTTTACGTTCTTCTATTATTAGTACAAATAATAGTTACACGGTATTTAAGAAAGATTGTCGAGAAAGTAATGGTTAAAAAATGGGCTTGGAAGAATGTTAATTATAGTTTCGCTGGCGTTTGGTGTTTGTAGGCAAAACAGTAGGTACTATCTACTGTACCGAGCGCGTTGTTGTCGGAAGAATTAATATTAAGAAGTAACAAATGAAAAAGAGAAAGCGTATGAGATCCGCCTATACCCGGTGTTAAATGCTTTCATCCGGCTTTACGCGTATTTCAATTTTAAGTTCTTATAATACCTGTGTTTATATCCTATTAATTATATCGCTAATGATGACCATTTTTCCTCTATTTTTCGTACGATCGATAAATATAAATCTTGATGACATCGATTATTAAAAATTACGACCATTATTACGAACGAACCAAAGCGATTGTAATTCTAGCATTACAAAAAACAAAAAAAGGAACTCGAAAAACATCGTTAGCGATTACCGTATTGGTCGTAGAACACACGTAGAATTAAAGTCGTAGAAGCAAGAAGAGATATGTATAAAAAGATATATATATACACATGTGCAAATTTCCCGTGTTTTTTAGAATGAAAGAATGGTTATTGTTACATGGTGATGCTCCCTTTCGCACGGTTGTGAGACATCGTCAGACACCGTCTGTCTCCCTCGATTTTTACGAGCACGATCATCGTTAAGATCCTCTTAATCGGTTATTAGTCCAGTTTCATGCTCGCGCAAGGGGAATTCGCGCGCAAAACATCGAATGATTTCACCCGACAGAGGTAGACACTATGTAATGTTGGCAACATTGGCCAACAATAGACGGAGTGGCGCAGCTTTTCTCCGCGTGGAATTCGAGAATTACGTGTTACACAGGAGGAGAATAGTATCGACTTCTCGAAGGCTCGCTTTCGCGAGGCCGCATCCGGAATCGATTGTGCTGGAAGACACATAGAAACAGGATACGATCACTGACTCACCGGTCATTAGACCCGTTTACAGACATAGGAACTCTATGGCTCCGTCTGTGTACGTGTAATTTTACGGCGAGAATTTATGCACGATTAACGAGAGAAGCTCCGTACGCTTCCTAGCAAGTGCATTAACTTCCTGCTGCGATTAACTTCTTTACGGAATCGTTCGAGAGATTACACCGTGGAGATTAGATTTTTACACGTTATTAAATATATATTATGTATTAGCTTACGTATCGTATTATTCGAGAGAGTGGAATGATAATTTTACTGGACATTGTATTTTTCGAATAATAGAAGCTAACTGGACAAAATTATGACAGATGTTAAGGGGAAAAAAAAGAAGTTACTAGTTATTCGCTAGACGTCCTCGACAATTCTAACCTATAAATTATCCGATAGATACATTTAGGCTAGATGTAGGCCCGAACAAATTGGAAATTATAAAATGAAAAAAAAGCACGTACCGCATAATCGATCGTTCGAAAGGAATAAATAATTTGGCAAATAAAGTTAAAAATATTGTTGTTTAACTATAGACAGGTTAAAATTAAAAAAAGGTAGAAAGTTTCCACGATAGATACGAGTAAGTAATTAACTTTTACAAGTTCAATTTACAAAAACAAAAAAACTTATCGACAATTTACAACGATTTAAATTAAAAATAAATGTTTTCGAGATATTGTTGATCCGTTAATAAAATTGAAATTTTTTAAATGCTTCTTAAAAATATATACATTTCTCGACTATTGAAACCAGTTACCGACCGACAGTTATCGATCAAGTCGTCTTCCTACGCATTTTTACTCTTTTCCGTAATCCGTAAACGTTTAAAAAGAGGATTTAAAATTTTAATGTGCACAATTATTTTTCACACGTTTGAAAATGAATTTTTTCCGATTAATATACATCGTTCGTACCACTATTCTTGCTCGAAGGAAAATATTCCGGATACCGTGGATCCATTCACCGGTGGCTAATTGCGAGAAACATCGCGTACTGGCGGTGACTTGCTAAAATTTAATCTACTGCGGCCGTCTATGGAAGACGCTCTGATTCCTCGAGTAATCAGAACATGGCGATCGTGGCGAGCGGAATACGAAAATGAATTTCGACATATACAGCCGGGAGCAAAAGAGAACGGTATATGATCGACTTGGAAAAAAAGTAATTTTGGAAATGGCAAATACCAAATTTATCGAGTAAGAGAAAGTGTGAAAGGAGCTCCTTCTTCTTTTCTTACCGCGAAGGTATGCTTATAAAGCAAGATAGACGGATTGAAAAGAGGAAGAAGCAAGACTGGGCTTAGAATTTTTCAAAACGTGGATATAATGCGTTCAATGCACGGTTCGTATGCACGGTTTATGGATCGTGGCCCATACTCGGATGCGATGGATACTCGGCCAATGGAACGTCCCGAATAATACTTTTTAGTTGCGCATCCTACACGATACGAGAATTCAGAAGGATCGTTTCCTTCTGACTTTGCTTTCGAGCAAAGATTCCATCGAATTGGCACGATGGAAATTATTCGCTTTCGAAATCAAACAAATCGGGCCTTCGAAACGATCGAATAACCACTCTTGAAAGCGTAATTCAAAATTACCGCAATATTAAAAGCAAATTTGATTATTTTTAAAAATTAATAATCCTTTGTTCCAACCAATTGATTCCTCCCTCGGGATAGATCGATTATTTCGATCGAGTGACTGATAATGATTCGAATTCTAAAGTTTGCCGATTAATTAAGGATCATTATCCGGAGAAAAGGAAGAAGAAGGAAGATCGTAGCCGAGATCGAGCCGAAAGAGAGGCCCGATAGCGATGGGATCGAGCGTATCGCGAGTAGATTCGAATTTGAAAAAATTCTAATGTGAACACTCAAAGTGAATATATCTTATATATAAACTTATCGTTATCTCGTTCCGATACGAATTTTCAAATTTTCTGGAAGTTGACAAAATTTTCGTCCGTGATTTTCGACGCAAAAAATCGAAGAAGAATGGAATTCGCGTGATCGAATCGAATTTATTACGTTGGGAGCAAGCGTTGAACTTGATCCCATCGCTAGGCCTTGGCACTCGTGAACGCACGAACGACGCCACGAGGAGAAAGTTTCGAAGGCAGGAAGTGAAGTAGGCCACGACTTTGACCGCTCGCAAGGTCCATACTCCCAAGCCACGCTGCTGCTGCTGCTGCCCGTGAGCTTCCATCGATTCGACTTCGTTTCGATTGACGCTGCCTGTCTACCGGGATTGGAAATAAAACGACGACTGTCGCCTTATGCGATCCGTTTACCAACCAGGGGGCATCGTTTCTTGGAATTACGGGCGAAAAATCTAGGTAACGGCGGTGATCTTGCCAAACGTCCATCGATCGTCCATCGATCCTGAAACGCGATCGAAACGCTGTGAATGAAAGAAAGAAATTCTGACGCACAAGAAAAGATTGTCGAAATAAACGCATGCACTTACGCGAGCTATTGATGATCCTGGTATTTCTATATACTTCCCTTTCCCCTGTTATAACGGGCTCACCGTTCTTCGAATTCACGCCTCCCTTTCCTCTCTAAACTCTCCGCCATTCCAGATCTAACAAAATTCGTAACATTTGTCGTAACGTTTGTAAACATCTTTTTACAGCCGGGAAAAGCGAAAAACGAGGGACGAAACGAGGAAAAAAAAAAAAAGAAGCGTAGCGATGAGCGGAATTCATAATAAGAGGATCGGATTGCATCATTCCGTTCATCGTTGTGGAGAACGCAAGAATGCCGATCCCTTATTGTCACTCGTTTAAATCGAATAATAAGAAAGGAAATCGATAAAAAAAAAAAAAAGATAATTCCGAAAAGAATTACATACCGCGAAGCGCGATTTCCGGATAGCACAACTCCACGTGGCCTCCTCCCCAGTGGGTCAAGGTTGCTTTTCAATCTGGAAAACAGCGTCACAGCAACCACGCTCGACTCCCCGCTCACGTTTCTATTAATATTTTATCATTCATACTCGCGGTGAGGATCCGCGTGCCAAGTTTCTTCGCTTCGGCCTTCTTCGTGCCCTGGAATCGGGCAATTTTGTTTCGCGACAAATTGTGCTGCTTGTTATTTGGCAACGGCCTGGCGATATCTTTACGACGCTTGTCCAAAAAAACGATCTATTAATAGCACGGCTCGTCGACGCGGTCTATTTTCTGCGCGCGGTTGGAACCAGCCAGCGGATTAAATAACACGCACGGCAATATCTCTTTCCAAACCGATGAAGTTACTTGGAATTATTTATCGAATCATTGTCGTCCGTATTGCTCTCCGTATTTTTTTTCGAGAACGATTTAAACAGCGTAATATTCGATGCGTTGACCGTCACAATGTTGGTCATCGCATATTATATTTTATTTTACACGCGGTAAGATATTGCAGAGAGATAATTTCACACTAGCAGAGAAAATACGATGACACGACATAAAAAAGTCGCGATGCATTATGAAACATATGTTTGAAAAACTATGGTCAAAACTATAGTTTGTTATATAGGCGCACGTTTAAAAATACGTTTACATTGCACAACACATCCACAAACGTTTTCTTTCTAATGCCGTAATTTTATCTAGATGTATAACAATAACGATATCTATTATCTAACGTAATGTAGAACTTGTGTAACGTATTAAATTTTATCGTTCTAATATTTCGTTCGAGTGACGCGGAATACGTCATAAAATAATGTGGAACAGTTTTATCTTTTAAAGTTTATACTTCTTTCTTTCTTTTTTTTTTTTTTTTTTTTCTTATTTACAAACATGATTGCAGAATTGCTGTTGTAACGTTAAATAATAAACTAAATATACTATGAACTATGACGTAATTAGAGTTTATTTGAACTTAGAAACAACTATTTTCGATACTTGCGAAATGATGTTTTTACGCAAATATTTACCCGTATACAATTTAAAAATCCTTACAAATCTGAAACAAAAGATGCAAAATAGACAACAACGATATATCATAATGGAGAAGGAGGTCACCTTAATTCAATAAATTCCCCCCCCCCTTCCCCCTCCAAAAAAAAGGAAGAAAAAGAGAAGCAAACCTTTTACGTCTACCGCGTGCACCGAGTTTGCTGTTTGTTCGTTATACCGCAACTTGGTGTAAAAACTCACTGCCGAATTTCCAACGAGCATTCGAATGGGACGACTTTTTGCCCGCTAGAAAGTTTTCAGACCCGCCTCTGTCAACTCTGGAGTACGGAAACGGAGTAAGCCGTACGTGTCCAGAGGCGAGATTATGGAAAAACGGGTAGACATTGGCTGTGCAAAAAGAAAAAAAGAAGAAGATAGGCCGGATTAAAGAAGCGCAAAGATCGAGGAAGAAAACATGCTCGCTTTCGAGTCGGTCACGCATCGTGTGGCGGCTCGATCGCGAAATTGATCTGCCATACTTTCGCCGCGGATACTTGCCAGAAATTATCGACCTTCGGGGACTTGTGTGGTCGAGATTCGTTCGTTAATGTCAATGATGACGTGCCGTGAAGGCGATGATAACGCGTACGACGAAAATGAGAAACCGAGCGAAGATAGAGGAATACGGATGTTCAGATAGAGGTCTCTTTCTTCTCTCTTCTGGTGTACGTATGCGTTCCAAGCTGGAACAGTTTTGAAAGCTCAGATATGTGGAGTGTAAAATATTCCAATTGATTTCTGTTACATTTGATCCCTGGAGATAGGTTTTTTTATATGTTGTATATAAAACTTCGCTCGATTAATCATTTCTCTTCTCTGGTAATTTGGGTTAATCTTTCCAAGGAATCACTGTAACATATATATGTATGCATTTATTTTTTTCATAATTTAAAAGATACATATTATTCAGAATAAATATTTCTGATTGTTAATTTATAAATTATAAACAAGTTACGGGAGTTATTTGATTATCTTATCATCAGACAGAAAATTTAGAAAAGATAAATTTATGTTCCACAATTTATAACTAACTGTTAAGTGATCGATTTATATCGATTTATATTATATTTAGATTATTATTAGTTATAAATTATTGCTCAAGAAAGTCAAGAATATACTTATGCTTATATTATTATTCGTGAATAATATCTTGTACGCTTGTATATATAAGACCATTGCTCGCGACCACTAACGATCATTGATTAGCTTCAATCAATGACTACGTCCTCGTTGCGTCTGGCCGTTTACAAGATGAAATTAGACGTTGCTTAAAACGGAGAGCATTTACGCTGATAAATGAATAAATGTAATTGACCGATATATTGATTATAGACAAAAATTTACAAAAAGATTAACATTCAGTCGAATAAGGTGCTGGAAATAAAAATAGCTTCAAAAAGTATAATTCGCGTATTTGATTCTTTAGATACGTAATTACTTGAGGAGGAAAAGAGATCGGGTTGGAGAAGAAATCGGTAAAAGGACCGAAAATGTTTATTTGATTACGTCCCCGCACCGCGTCCTCCTTTCCTCGAGGAGGTATAGTTGGCAACGCTAGTTAACGCACACGCACCTGCACCGGCGATCGGGCTATAGTGAGTGATAATCGTAGAGTAGGTCAGCGGAACAGTGCCTCTAGCGATCTGCGTTCCTCGCCTTCCCGACTCCTATACGTGTGTTGCTGCCACGTATACACCGGCCTGGTCGTGTGTATCCGTGTGTGCGTGTGTGTCCATGCGAGCACGGATAAAGGCAGGCTCACTCAAGCCGTGTGTGACAAGAAACGAGTCGAAGACGAGGCGATGCCGTCTGGACGAAACATCCATCCGACCTCTACTTGACTTTTATCCCATACAATTTTATTCGGACGCCGATTCGGTGTCCGTTTTGCCGTTTTCGTCGATGACGGTAAACATCACCCATCCCCCAATGTTTCTGTTTTGTAACGTGATACTTCGGCTCAAGATAAGGTTTCGTTCCGTGTGGACGACTTCTTTTTCCAGAAGGAAGGTGGAAACTGGAATTTGAAAGAAGATAATTATAGATAAATTGAGGCATTCGCATATACGAAATATATTTTCGTTCCTGCCACAATATTATTGGGACATATCTCACTACCGATTAATCGCTTTTATCGTGAACGTGAACTTCTATCTTGTGTTATATTTAAATTCTAAATTGTACGTATATATATATTTATTGCAACGTTATACTTTTAATAATAGAATAAGAATAAAAGCTGTAAATGCAAGAATCCTATCATTCTGTTAGATTAAAGGAAAGGTAGTAATTTTCCCATAGAAAGATGACCAATTTCACGCAGGAACGTGTTTTACCGCTTTACAATTAAAGTTACTGTATACTCATTTGTAAGAAAGGCACACGCGATCATGGGAACTACCGTAAAAGTATGTGTAACGAAGAAAATAAAGTAAACAAAATAAATAATATAAATTAGACGGTAGATATTCGTATTCGTGGAAAAAATTGAAAGAAATCAATCACTCGAGAGTTTCCCTAGATATATAAATAGATCATAAAGAAAGAAGAATTTATCGAAAATGATAATCAGCCGGATGGGTGGAGTCGAGTGAGAGGTACAGAAGAGCATAGAAAGTTCGTATCATGAAATTGCATTCCATAAAGAATGGAAAGTCGGTGCATAATCCTTTTCATTATTCTTCTTTCCTTTTTTTTTTCCTTTTTTTTCTTCAACCGCCAGATGGAATGCGCGAACGTGAAACGAATTACATCGTGAAATACTGGAACGATTTCTGATCAGACTTTTTTTCGCTAGAGGCGCTTCTGCGTACAACCGATCAGAAAGATTACGAGGAGTACGACGACCGACGGCTGGGCTAGATTAAGACAACGAGGTCACGTGCCAGTAGAAGCGTTACGTATGAGCCATTCCAGGGGAAGTCAATATGATGATTATTCAATTTTTTTTTGTTACTCTGAAAAATCATGTTACCAGAACATTATTAATTTATTTAATTAATGTTATTACACGTTTATATATAATACATCATAAATCAAGCATTGCAAACGTCTTACCCTCTTCAGAAATTCAGAAATATCATTTATTCATCTTTATCGATGATAATGATTCTAATTTTATTAGATAATTGTTACAATTATAAAAATAATTATTTAGATTGTATATATTCAAATAGATTTATGGCAATTGCTAATGTAATATATAACGTAATATAAATGTCTAATGTTTTAGAAATATTATAATTTAGAATATTATGTAAAATAAATCATTGAAAATAAATTAAAAAATAAATCAGATTTAATACAGACAAAAAAATATCACATACCAATTCAAAGCTTGTTTAAATACTTTAATGTAAAAATTCCTGCAATAAAATTACAAATAATTAAATAATCTATTAATATAAATGCATTATTTTGTTTATAATAACAACGTATTATTACCTTATTATCCTATTAATCATCCTTAAAAATCATTACGAATTCTAATTTTTTAATAAAAATATAGTAAAGATTCTTAAAAATTTTTAAAGATAAGAATTTACATGAAAAAGATAAAAAGAGTAAAAAAAAATTAAACAGAATTATATCGAAAAAAAAAAAAGAACTCAATTCTTAACGCCTACAAATTGCTTACATAATTTCTAATAAAAATGAAACATTTGCATTAAAATATGCAAAAAGTTCTCGCAACTGTCGCTTGTACGCATATTGCCTATAATTAATTGGAAAAATTGTGTCAGGAATAATGGCGAGTACATAACATACGGAAGTAGAAATGTGAGAATGGCCGTTCGAAGGACGCAACTGATTCATTAATCATAACATTGACACAGTGCTGCTAAGAAAATAGTAACGATTACAGAAAGCTCAAATATCAGCAGGTAGGAAATCGAAGCGACGTATACTAGATGCGTGCGCACACAATGTTTTTCTACGATTTATAAGATGACGTATTACGCATCAAAAAATATAGTCTATGCCAGACAAATAATTAGAATATTTTAATTCTAACATTCTAATTGATCCTTTATAGATGCGAAATGCATGCGAAAGAAAGAAGCTCTAGTTTGCTTCGTTGAATTCAAATACTTATTTAATCTGTGTTTATTAAAATCATTGATTTTTAGGTTATTATATGTAATTATAATTATTTCGACGACAAAACGAAGATCATAAACATGTTTTTCTGAAATATAAGATTTTTTTAATTAAAATAATTGTATATTCGTCATTTCGAAATTTATTCAATAATACATTCACCTTTCTTTTTATATTTTAATATTAAAATAATCAATATTTATTCATGCAAATTGAAAATTCGCTGATGATTATAGATTGTCGATGCGATTAACACATCACAAATTAATGGAATTTCACACCTTAAGGAAATACACTTGGCAACACACTATAGGTATTATATTCCTACATTTACATCTATTTCCGTCTTTTAGGTACCGTTTTCCCCACTTGACAGTTGATCGTATGTGTCAGCGACGTTGCGTGAAGCATGATTGAACCAGAACTATACGCAGTCCCTTCATCCCCTCGTAACGCAGGCGAGCGCAACAGACAGTGATAGTCGGTCATACGTGGCGTACGTACACTTATCGTGCTTCAGTATCGAAGCGAAGTCTGCACAATTCGACATTTATTAGTACACATGAGGCGAGAATATAAATAGCAAGTAAAGAGATGTATACTCCATAAGAAGAACAGAGATAAAATACAAGAGAGGGCTGCAATTTTATTGTTAGAGTGCGTGCAAGTCGGTATGCTCAATTATAATTAAGTAATAACGTCAAAAAACAACACGCGGCCTCAGTCGATCAGTAACGTTGAAGCCTTGAACACGCTTGTACTAATTCGAAACTCCCGCCGTGCAGAGCGCCAATCGTTGAGCACCGTGATCATAGGTGCATACCCGCCAATCGTTCGTGATGCTGCACACGAGGACCCTCGCCGTCGCTGCAGCATCGCCTATCCTCGTTGAAAATGTCTTACCGTCTTGGTTGCTTCGCGCGTCTAGCAGCCATGTTGTGTCCACGCGTTCCATTGGTGACCGTGCACTTAATCGTGGTCAAATATCACGTGAGATCATGCTCGAAAATTACCAAAAGATACGTGAAAAGTACAAGTGTAAGTATATGTTGGCACTAGTTGCAGCCATTTTACTTTGGTGTCTTTCTCAGTTCCACTAGTCTCGCTGATATTCTATCTCAATCGTTCTTGTATGTGTTCTGCCGCGCCATTTGAGTCCGGGCATGCGCACTTATAAATACTTTGATATTTTAAATCGATGATAATGGCGCGAGACCTTGATAGTCATTTATACACGCGGAAATTATAATTGATACATTAATAAATCCCCCTTTTCAGGAAATGTTCGATTTACTCTTAATGATAAAATTAAATATCGATTGTCCTTTGAAAATGTGCATATATTTACACATCTGTTGCATGAAAGAACATTATTATCAATTGCTTCTGGCAAATTTCCAAAATCTTCAATACGATGCATTGAATCTATTAAGAGTTCTCATTATTACAAGTACTAATAACCATGATTTATAGACTTTAAGATAACTGTTATAAAACGTATTTACGTGATACAATATTGAATTAAATTACGGAAATTACATTGGTTAAATATCAATTTATTAGCATGTATTTAGTAATTAATTATTAGAAAAAAAATTGTATATCAGAATTTATATGTAAAAAAATGCAAAATAGAAAAATCTAGGACGGTAAGAAATATTTCGTTTCGAGCATTTGCAAAATGCTTATCATGAATTGAAATGGAATAATAATCTCGTGTGTTACCTTGTTATTTAGTTGAAAATTTTTCGTACAAGGCCACGTTTATAAAATCACGCATGTCTCTGTATCATACATCATATTCTGTTTTCATCTTGCTTATATGCTCTGATCATCTAGAAACAGAAAAAATAACCATTCTGATTTCAAATTATACTGCATAAGATATAAGAAATTATAAAAGATATAATATTAAGTATCATAATAATAACTTTTTAATTTGTTTACTATTGTAACCTTTTTAAGATAAAATTAAGATTTATTTTTCATATCAGATATTTTCCAACTAAAGATGATAAAACTGAAACAAATAATAATTTCAAATTATTATTTTTTATTTCAAATAAAATTTAATGAATCTGAATTTAAATAGAAATTCGTATACTTATCCCATTTAAATATTAATCAATTTCTTCTTCAGCTAAGAAACTTCCCCAAGACGTGAATCCGAAAGGAGTGTTTTCTTGCAATGAGCTTGACCTGAAAGAAGTCCAAGTATATGGATTTGATTATGATTACACTTTGGCTTGTTACAAACCATCCATGGATTACTTACTGTATAATCTTGGACGTGATATGCTTATTCAAAAATACAAGGTACATCAAACAATAATATATATATATACATTAATTTACTAATTATAATTTTTTTAATTAACGAAAAAAATTCTCTGTATACAATATATCAATCGTGAAAACGTGCGACAAACTTTCAAACTCGGCAAGATTACTAATTCAAACTAGGGAACGAAACTTTCTAACTCATTTCTGCTCGCGAAATTTAGTTCATCAGGAGTATTTTCTCGAAAATCAAACGACAATTACGGCCGAACGAGAATTTCAATTGAAACTTGACGCAAACTCGTTTAATCGGCTGTACAGTACCCCGAGGGAATCAGCAACCTCGAGTACAAGAAGGATTTCGCTGTTCGTGGCCTCCATTATGACATCGAAAAGGGTCTGCTACTAAAACTCGACAGCTTCTTGCAAATTCAATTTGGCACCGTTTATCGCGGTTTACATCCAGTACCCGACGACGAGGTCCTTAGACTCTATAAAAACCGGATAATACCAATCGCTTATGTAGAAGCGCCACATAAACATTCTCATGTAAGCATATTTGAACGAACTTGATAATTAATTAATTATAAGTGCGATGTTCTTTTTTATTATTTTCCTGAAAATTTTAAAATAATTTTATCTTATTTTCGTTTAAATGTAAAAATCTTTCAATATTTTTCAACTTTTTATGTATTCGTGACTATATCTGAAACAATAAATATAACAGATATAAAATATTTTTTTAAAAGGATAACATAAAAAATCCAACTAACAATAATATTCAATAATGTGAAAAGATGCATGAATATATTTTAACTTTCCTTTTTTCGATTTTATTCTGAACAAAAATTGAAAATATAAGAACTTACTTACTTACAGTAATTGAAGTGACTGTTTGTTTGTTTTTGTTGCACGCATCAACTTATGTGTTTTTCATGACGGATGTTTTTCAACATAAATATAGAAAGTAAGTGTTACGTTGTACTTCTATGTATATGCGATATGTGTATTTCTATATGTATACAGATTTTGTGTGTATAATGAGAATTAAATTTCTTTTAGGAAGCATTGCACCGGACAAAAATGGTTCAATTGGCTGACTTATTTTCGGTACCAGAAATGGGCCTTCTATGTAACGTTACGGAATATTTCCTTAGAAATCATATCGATTATCATCCTGAAATACTTTTTAGAGATGTAAAGGTAAAAAAGAAGAAGAAAAAAAAAAATCTATACAAAAGTTAAAAAATTAATTACAATTGTTTTTGATAAAAATAGATATTATTATTTCTTATTTAGAATTCTGTACAAAGTTGTCATCCCATAATGCATGGAATGGTAGTGAAAAATGTTTCCGAATATTTGGAACAAAATAGAGATTTGAAAAGATTCTTTGATCGACTTAAAAGAGCTAACAAAAAAATGTTTCTAGTAACTAATAGTCCCTTCCATTTTGTGTAAGTATTATGATATATTATAATGAATAATAATAATAACATAATGTTATATACAATTAATATTTTTAGCGATATTGGAATGAAATTCTTGGTTGGTGATGATTGGAAAGATTATTTCGATGTGGTAATAGTACAAGCAAGAAAGCCAAAATTCTTCACAGAAGAATCTCGACCTCTTAGAATATACGATGAAATTAATAAAACACAGCTGTGGGATCGAGTTACTAAGCTTGAAAAAGGAGTTATTTATCTTGAAGTATGTATAAAACGTTTTATATTCTTTTTTAATATCTAAGAATTGATATTAGTTTTAAAATCAGGGCACAGTTAAACAATTACAAGATATGACGGGATGGCAAGGACATCAAGTATTATATTTTGGAGATCATCCTTATAGCGATCTAGCGGATGTAACTTTGGAACATGGTTGGCGAACTGGAGCCATAATTAAAGAATTAACGGTAAATTTGTAAATAAACTTGTAATTTATTACATGTATTCAAAATAATTATTTGTATGAAATTTTTATTTAAATTTGTTATTTGTTCATTAGAATTGTTATTTTTAAAAATTGATTTTTCGGGATATTATTTATATATATCATATATATAGATAATAGTATATTTTTATATATTGCAGCATGAAATTGCAACGTTAAATAATCCAAAATTTAAAGAAAATGCAAATTGGTTACAAATGCTAACAGGATTAATTGAAGAACATCAAGATTATGAAGGGCCAGATGTACAAACGATACTCAACGAATGGATCGAGGAAAGAGATGAATTAAGAAACGAGATAAAACGAGTATTTAATAAGCAATTTGGATCTGTGTTCAGAACATATCATAATCCTACATATTTTTCAAGAAGACTTTTCAGATTTGCCGATATTTATATGAGTTCAATTACGAATCTGTTAGAATATTCAACAAGTCACACTTTTTATCCAAGAAGAGGTGTAATGCCACATGAATATACAAGTTATTTCGTATAATATATAGTTCTAATATTTAGATTTTTAATTAGAAGCATTCGATGCTTTAAAATGTGATAGAAATGAATCAAAATCAATATCTCAATTGAAAATTCTAGAAGAAATAAAAATATTAAAAAATAAATATTTAAAACGCATTTGCGTTTTATGTAGATAAAAAGAGAATATTAGACTGCTTAATGTGTTAACTTTGCGAAAAAGTATATTGTTATATATAACTTATATATGGATAATTTTATTTAGATAAAATACTATAATTGATTTATTAAAAAATTCCATTACAAAGATTTAGAATAAATAAATCTATGTACATTAGGTTTACAGGTATTGTTTAAAATATCTAAAAATTGCTAAAAATAAAATCGTAAAAAAAAAAAAAAATAGAAAGAATCTACGTAAAACAAAAATGTACTACATTTTCAAGATTAAAACTGTTCTATTTGATTATTTTTTTCTTTATGATAAATAGATACAAATAATTTATTCAGGTACAAAATTCGTTACACTAATTATAAGTGTTAAAAATAATATTCATTATCAAATCGCAATATATATGTATAAATATTGTAAAACAGCCATATGAAAATTATTTTATATTTTGTAACAAAGTACAATGATATATTTGATAAGAGAATATAAAAGTTGAAGTTAATAGGATTATTTCTAATAACTGTGATTTTAATTTCAAATATAAATTGATTCTTTTATATTTACTACCTAAAATATTTTTGCTGCTATATATGAAAAATAGGAGTCTTTTTATTTTTTAAATATTCATTTATTTTAATTTCAATCTTTTTCGCAAAATAAAAAATATTTTCTTATAATAGCACTTATAATATTCAGTAGAAAAGTATATCGTATAAAAGTTATGTAAATTATCTAAAAAATTTTTGTGAATTTGAAATTTCTGAAAAAGTTAACCAACTATGAGGAAATCATTCCTTTAATCATAATATATAAATTGATCTGAGATGTTTTATTTTTTTATTCTAGAGTAGAAATTTTTGAAAACAAAATAAAAAAATATTCTACATATTAATGTTATTTAGTTTAATATTTATGTTATATGCAAAAAGAATATATATATATATATATATTTACATTGAATTATATTATATTATAATTAATATGTAAAAGAAAAATTGTTAATATTTTGTTTATCAAAATGGAATAATTTCTTTTGTTTCGATAACGAATTTTTGTTTAAATGCAAATGTGTTCAAATGTATATGAATGATCTGATTAATCAATAAAAATCAATTAATCCAAAGCTAGTATGTTTTTTCCAACATGAATTTAGCATCATTTTACTCTTCAATATTTCATTTTTAAAAATTTTTTAAAGCATCAATATTTATTAAAAATTACATTTCGGCTTATTCAAAATAAATAAAATAACTTCAATATATAAATTTAATAATAATTATGAAATTTCAATAATTTTTTTAAAAATTATATTTTTTCAAACATTAATTTAATAAATAAAAAAATAAAACAATATAAAATATAAGTATTATTATATATATGTATATAAATATATTTTATTTTAACTGACTTTTATTAGTGATAAAATATTATTATTTATTATATTATTTCTTCTCACAGATAATATTCTAATTATATTATTAATTATAAAATTTATGAAATATATCATAAAATACAAATTAAAAATGATTCATAAAAAAACAATGTTTTAATAAAAGTTGTATAAAAAATATGAAAGTTGATTAATTTTTATTTTTTGCTAAAGATAAATTGTAAATGTTTTATAATATAAATTATAATAATAGCTACAATTCATGTTGGATTTGATAATAAAATCAAACAACTATATGAATTTAAGAGCATAACATGTGTATAACATATATAATGTCATATATGAATGTGTATATGTGTGTGTATATATATATATATATATTTATATACATATATATAAATTATAATATTTATAAATTATTGAAATATATTTAAACAGATATCAGAGATACAGTATATTTACATAATGTTCTCTCATACTCATGCAAATACAACATACACACAGCACTGTCCTATATATCATCGAATACAGTCAGTCCACAGTATTTATTTATTTATTTATATACTTGAAGTGTATCTGTATTCGATGGATATTATGAAAATGACTTTAATTATATTTATTTCATCTAATTATCGCACAATTTCAAGCTAAACTTAATAATCCACAGCCAATGGCTGTTAGGTAGCATATTTTCGGTATACATCCTAGAGTTTTTTAAAATGCGACTTTAATCACGATTTTTATTTCGTATATCAATGGTACGAAATCTATATCTATATATATATATATATATATATTTATATAAATATTATTATATTTTTATATATAAATATATATATCGATGATAAAGGATATTAACATTGCTGAAAATTAATTTTATGTTCAGTCTGCAAGTATGTTATCAATTATTCAGTAAGTCAATTACTCAAAATTATTATAAAAATTCATATATTATAAATTATGAATAACGAATTAAATTATGTGCATGCATTATTTACATTATGTATATGTTGAATTTCAATAACAAGTTATGAGAAATGATAGTAAGATAATTTATATATAATTCAGATAAAAATTTAATCATATTTTATAATGCGTTTTAATTAATTGTCATTTTTTTGACTTACTGACCTATTAATAATTTTTCACATACAGTCTTCTGATTTTATGCAGATGCAAAACATATAACTACCAACGAGGTAGATTAGTAAAATGAAATTTTATCTAAAATAGCAAAAATTGTGTCGCAAAGATAACGACATTATGAAATCACGAATTTTATTTGAGCTAGAACCATAAAAAATGAAAAAAATAACTAATTAAAATGGAATTTAAATTGGAAAGGAGATCCATGGAAGTGATGAAATTCTTGATAAGGATTAAATCCTTGTTGATGTTTTCCTGATTCAGGATCTAATGGATCTTCTCCTTGGTCAAATTTCGCTCTTTTTTCATCATCAGTTAATACTTCTTTGGCAGCTGCAATATCAATAAATCTTTTTTCTGCCAATTTCTTTTCTTCTCCTTCTTGAAAATTATCAGGATGCCACTTTTGTGCAGCTTTTCTATATGCTTTGATAATATCACGTTTAGATGCTGTTCTTGGCACACCCAAAATTTTATAATAATCTCGAGATTCAGAAAGTTTTTGTCGTTGTTGCGCTTTATGAAGACCTTGCTTTGCTCTTTGTAAACTCATATCAATTTCTAAAGCCTCTTTAAAATCTCTAATAGCTAGTTTAAAATAATAAATATATTATTTATATATAGTAAATTATATTAATAATACAAATCTATATATGATATGTTCTCTCATTTTAATCTTTATATGTATTTGTTTTTTAATTCATTATTTTAAAAAAATTATTTAAAAAAATATTTTAAATATTTTGAAAAAAACATTTTATGATAGATATAATATTAATATTAATATTAATTATTTCAAAATTTAATGATAATATCCAGACAAGATTTGTATTTATTTGTATTTATTCAATGTATAGTAAGTTTTTATGTAAAAAAATTTTTTTTAATAATTTGGGAAAAAATCTTATGCAAGCATTGCATAAGTTAAAACACTTATGACTATAAATATATAACTTACCATCATCAAACATTTCAGCAGCAAGATAAGCTTCTGCTCTATCACAATATACTGCAGCTTCTTTTCTTATTTTTAATGCTTCATGACAATTTTTAATTGCCTGAGTTGGTTCCTGATTACTAGTATAACATTTACAGAGATGTTGATGAGCAAGGAAACGTACATTGATTATTTGTGGTTCAAGTTTAAGTATAGACAATGCTGAATCTATACAATTAGTATAATCTCTTTTATCTTCATATTCTGTTGCAGATATTAATAATTTTGCTACCTTTTTAACTTTTTTGTAAAATGAAAAACATTTTGAATGTTCTGGATCAAGTTTCAAACATTCTCGAATCTCCCTATATATATATATATATATACATGTATATATAATTTTAATTGTATAATTTAAATATGAAATATGAAATAATAATATAATAATTTAAAATATTTACATTTATTACTCACTTTAATGATTCTTCAACTTGTCCAAGACGATAATGCAAAGTAGCTAATTTTAAAAATCCTTGTGTATTGTCAGATTGTAATTTGGTTGTAGAACGTACGTCAGAAATAGCACTAATATAATCTTCAAGTACTTCATATAATTCAGCTCTACGTTGTCTAAGTTCAGCTGACCATGGACATACTTCTATAACTCTAGTAATTTGATGCACAGCTGCTGCATAATCACCACTCATTTTTAATCTGTCTACAATTAATAAATCTTCTTGGGCAGGTGCTATTTTATATAAGGCATTATAGGCATCTGAATTCTGTGGTTCAATTGCTAACTATAATTGAGGAAAAGTAAAAATTTATAATATAATTATATGTGAATAATAAAAATATATTAAAAAAAAATATATTACAAACAAAAAAAACTTACCACATCTCGAAAATCTGCTTCTGCTTTTTCAAATTGAGCTTGTTTAAGTAATACATTACCACGTTGTAATCTTGCAGAAGTAAAATCTGGTTTCAATTCCAAAACTCTATCAAGATCAAGAAGTGCAAATTTAGCTTTACCTAATGCTAGATATACTGTGCCCCTTTTATAATATGTCAAATAGTTATTTGGATCTCCCTCTATAAAAAAAATATATATCAACATTTGAATTTTAATGACAGATCTTATTTTTTATAGATCTATAAAAAAAAATCAAAAAAATAAAACAAATGATTATAAATATAACTTACCAACAGCTGCATGATAATGTGACAGTGCATCCTGTAATTGTCCTTTTGCTAAAAATTCTCTACCTAATTCCAAATGCCTGTCAATTTCTAATTGCGAAACACTTCCAACCACTAGAATACAAACTCGTTAAATGTTATATTGCAAAATAGACATTTAAAGGTACTTTAGGTTAGGATTAATTACCATCTAAAGACAGATCCAATAAGACCAATAATAAACCACAATGATACATGACTGA